CAGTTAAGCTAGACTTTGTTATATTTAGTAGCAGTAACACAATAGGCTTGTTGCACAGGATCCTGCCAATTGTTATATATATGAGGCATCCCATTGAATTCAGCATCATTCTGTGCACTTGCAGCTTTAGCAGTTGGAGACTTCTTGAGGCCTTAAGTGATTTGCTGACCATCTTTTAAGTTCATGCTTAAGTATAGTTGTTTAGTAAGAGATCAACATGCACATATCCAAAATTGCCTGATCTGAGGTTCTTCCATCTTTAGAATTTCAGAATGAAAAGCTACATTACTAATGCTGCTGAACAATTAAACCTATAGAAAAAAAGGATATTTCACCATATCTTCATCTAATGTTGAAAGTGCTATATACAATTTCTCTTTGATTGTCCTTTTATTTTCTTCCATTTGAGTTGCAGTTAAGATCAGAGAAGAAAAATAAAAGTCTTGTTACAGCTACAGGTCACTGTAAGATAAGAGACTCAGCAGTCACTTCTATGCACTGTACACACAAAAGTGGGCCAGACTGATATTTAGTTTATCAGTCTGGAATCTAGGAAACATAACAGAGGTACTTGAATGTAAATGCATTGTCAAAAGATAATAATCTACATCACTGGAGGAGTGTCACTTGTCCAGCAATTTAAAGGTCATCTGACATACTTCATTTTTCTCTTACAATTAGAATATAGTGAATATACACAGAGTACAAATCACAGCTTTTTTAAGATTTGACCTCTTAATTGGCTGGCCTGACCCACAGATGAAATCACACAGTAGTACAGAACAGAAAAGAGAAAATAAAAGAAAACTACTAAAGATGTTTTTAGAAAGCTGATTTCAATTAAAATCCAGTTCTGGTGTGAAAAGAAGAAAAATCTTTTTAAGTATGAATCAAAATGATAAAAATTCATCTTTTCTGCTGTAAAAACAGAAGTCAACAGAAAAATGCATTCTTTTGCTGGAATCCGGGCCTAGGACCAAAGAATTTACATATATTAATTTAACAAGATCCAAAGTCCTCTACAACAAATATTTATGCTGTAAAATATTACAGCCACATTCCTGCATCTCCTTACAATAATAATTCTTAGGGACACAATATTCTAGGGAGTGTATACAACAGTGGGTTTCCACAAAGATGGAATGCTTCATTATCAGAGTACCAGCTTGTTCATAAATATTAAAAAGTACGATTTTGAATTTTTTGGAACATATTTCTTACTGTTTACATTGTCTCTGTACTGCTGAAAAAAAAAACAGTCAGCATGTACCTGTCCATATGTCTCTCCCTCACAGTCCTGAACTGCAGAAAACCTCTGCTGGTGACTGTAAAGGACTACAGTGTTTGTTCTGGATATACAGTGAGCAGGCAAGGGGACAAATAGTCTGGCCTTACTTATGCAAGTAGTCATTCTAGCAGTGATAGGTCTAATTCTTAACTTGAAAGAACACGATTTGCCCCAAACTGCAGACAAAATGGCAGAATTCCTTGCTACCTTACAAAAGTGAGTCCTAATTTTACATATGGTTATTTTTTGTTTGTATGCATTATAGGCAATTCTTTATAACAGATGAGAGCTGGAAACAGATAATTACAAGAGAAAAAGAACTTGTCTACTGCTACAAGAAAAATCATGTAGAGATTGCTCAAGACAAAATAACACTACAGATCTGATTTTCATTTGGTAAAAATTAAACTCCTGAATATGTATTAGTCTGCATTATAAAAGCAACACTGACAACAGATTAAACTTCTGAAAAGTGACCAAAAGTTAGAAAAGGAATGGCTTTTCTGAAACATGTTCTATTGTGGTTAATCATGAGGAAGAATACCAAAAATTTTTTTCAAGTGGCAACAAAATGAAACAGAACAGAAAGACCCACACTGGCTGCAGCAATGTATTAGATTCATAAACTGGGCTTCATAGAACTCTCTGTGGGAAAAGAGCATGCTTACCCTTGCATAAACAGCATTTACTACATGGTGAGATCATATGGAGGATACCACTGAAATACAGAAATAAACATGCTAAACTTGTAGAAAGAGAACTCAAACATAGCAGTAATAACTGCAAACACGTGCTTATTTGAAGAAGAATGTTACCTAATTTCCTTCCTCTCAATATACAGAGATCTAATTTAAGCTGCTCCCCTCCCCTTTCCCACTTTACTATATTTGCAAGAAGCAGTGAACACAGAAATGTGCAGCCAGCCTGGGCCCTCAGGCCGGTGGATCAAGATGGCAGGCTGGCCTGGGCTCCCCTGGGGACAGCAGAGCCAGAAGGGTGATTGGACACAGTGACCTGTCTGCATGAGATGAGACAAAAACAGGAGAGCTGTAATGCTGATGAACTAACCTGTCACTCACAAGCTCAGGTCTGAGAGAAGAAAAAAAAAAAAACAATGGAGATAAAAAAGAAGAAGAAAAAGGTATAGTAGAGGTTTTAGAAAGCATACAAGGCAGGCAAATTAAAACGTCATTGGAATAATTAGATGACACATTTAATTACCTGTTCATTCAGATGGGCTCAGGATATATAGGAAATATGGCATAAAAATCCAGCTAATAGTTTCTATAAGAGCAAAGCACAATTGAAGAAATAATGGATATTGCAGTTTGGCATGCAAAGAAGGATGCTACAGACTATTGCTGGCAGGGATCAGGGTTTCCTGCCAAACACTCCAGTTATGAATCAAAATCACAATGAGCAATGAGCTTCTAGATCTTGACACACAAGGCAAGGAGGTTGTTCTTCAGAGTACTTGGCTGTTTTATTGCTTGCTTGGGGGAGGAAAAATCCAGAGGGAAGGCTCACAAGCAATTCTGCACCCTGGACCCAGTACACCCAGGTGCTGGGTAACAGTCAGAGTTGTAGCACTCTGCACACCATTGCCATCACTAGTGGGAATCACTGTGGACTGGTGGTTAAAGACAGATGAAATCCAGATTTTTTTTTTTTAAGTAAAAAATACATTTAATGATGAACAAGAACCTGGTGTTGAAAATGCCTTTAAATCAGTATGCTCCTGCTATTCCATTTGTGTCATACACAGACTAATGCTTGAACTACAAAAAACTGCTAGTGTGTCTGATCTCCATTGCATCAGCTCTACATGTACAGTTTGGATTTTTAGTTAGGCAAGTTCACATTCCATTAGCAGTAAACAGGACTGAATTTACAGCTACATCTGCAGGATTAGTAAAAAAAAATTTTTTTTTCTTCATGGCAGGAAAAAAAATACAATGCTGATATAAAAAGGCCAAATCATAAACATTTTTCCAATTTTTGGGTTTGGAGGTTTGAAAGTTAACGATGACTTTTAAGAACTTTTTCTAATAGTGTCAGGAAATAAATGTCTATTTTAAAACTACGCAACTACTAAATATGCAAACCTTAACTATTTATCAATACAAAATAGAGACTTAAAATATGGAAAGATTTTCTGCCATAGGGCTTGCCTTTTGATAGGTATTTTCTCTTAAAGTACTTACAGAAAGTCTGACTATTTTCAGCAAAGTATGGTAATTATACTGACTACCCTGAGATTCCCACATTTTAACTCCTTTATTATACAACCAGAAAATGCATAACTTTTTATCAGAAAAAAAATTAAACTTTTTATTCTATCTCAACACATAGCTAATAACAACCAAACACTGAATAACTAATCAAAACAAAAACATGAAAATTTTGTGGATTTATGAACCCATTTTGATGTGCACACTTACATATATGAAATGTAAATATGCACACATGCTGATCTGAAAAAAATGTTAGCAGCACTTAAGACAGTAAGTTTCAGAAAAATAATATTTATAAAGTCTAACACAGAAAACCCACAGAAGTTAGTCACCTGAAATACCTAAATTTATTTTTCTTTTAAGCACGTGCTCTTGCTATTAATTTTAGGAAATGAAATACATGATCATATGATATAAACATTTTTCCAGACGTTCACTGAACTTTTTTTTTAATTCATGAAATATGGAATGTTAAACACAGAAAAAAAAAAAAAATCCCTCTACCATTGCCAGCCTCAGAACCACTTTCTGAGAGTTAGCAAGTCTTAAACATAAAATAGCTAACTTACACTTTCTTACATGTGAAAACAAAATTTACATTAAAGAGATAATACAAGCTTTTAGATTTATAAAGATTTCAGGGTACATTTTCTTCCAAGTGTACTTGCTCAAAACCTTGCCATTGTATCTGCCTTAGAATCATTAAATATATTTCTGTAAGACTGAACAAGTTAAACAAAAAGGTAATTAACACAGTCTAAAATACATCTTTTTGCACAATATAGTACTGGCAAGCATGCCCCACTTTTTAGGTATAAGCCAGCCTAATAGAAAGCCGTGAATGTTTGGAGGATTTTTAATAAAAAATGTATCTTCTATTTTTAAAATATTTAAAGCAATAAAAGTCTGTGGTAAACATGGCATTACATATTTGACATTTTCTACCCAAAAATGCATTACTATGTACGATGGTATTAATAAACCATGTGCTTTGAGGGACTTCAGTGCTTTGCCATAATTTAGATCAAAACAATGTATAGAATGCGTCTTTTTTTCTACCATTATATCAACATATAGAAAACAAATACTATGTCATCATCTCAGCAGCATGCGTTCACTGTACTGGAAACATATGCAAAAAACCACAAACTTTTGAGAGTTCAAAAAATACCCTTTACCACAGAATGATTTGCAAGTCAGTGGTTAATGAGAAAGTGTTGAGCACTTAAAATTTTGTTAGAAAAAGAAAAACAGGCACCCTCATCTGACTCTGACTGCTTTCACAGGGAAACAGCCCTCCCTGTTCATCAGAACAAAATAATTTCTTTCCCCACTTCAGGTTATTATTTGAAGCAAATGAAAAGACAATGATTTTTTCTCTCTTCTGGCTAAAGCTCAAAACAGCATGGTTAAATCACACATATAAAAACTACAGACTTATCAGAAATCACAAAACAGAAAGAGAAGGACTCACTGACCCATTTGGAAGACAAAGACGACAAAACGGAAAAGCTCTAAAAATCAGCTTGTGAGGCCTTTGAGAGATATTCTTCTGGCATTTCATCACAGCAGCCCCAGTTCACTTCCCTGGATACAGGGAGGGAGAACTAAATAGAGCTGTTTATTAAAGCTGTTGTGCTGGATTGCATTAGGAAGCACGAGCAGACCACCTGGACCTTTCAGATTGTGGCAGTGTTTAATTTGCAGGCTGCCCCTCTGCAGTAGCAAAGACTACTACATTTAGCAGGCTCAATCACACATTATCTGGATTAGAAGTATAAGAAGAAAAAATAAAAATGAAAAATAAAAACCACAGCATCTAGTACAGGAATACAGTCAATATAAAAATAATGAACAGCATTACAAATAGAAAACAACTCCTCAGCAAACATAACATTTTCCCTCCTCGGTTCTTCTACTTCAGCATATTTAAACAAAATAAAACAGAAAAATAATAAATACTTTGATTTGGTAAATCTGAGACTGAAATGGGGTTTATTAGAAGAAAAGGATGGTAATTTTGTTTTTTCTAGTGATTCCCTGGCCAGATTATTGTGTTTCTTTTGCCTTTCTCACTTTCAGTACTACACTCGCTGGTAGCTGAAGATACAGATAGAAAGATGGTACTGTAAATATGAATTATGTGAATCATATGGTTAGACCCTTGTGAAAAAAAAAAAAAATAAAAGAGGAGTTGAGAAATGGCTGACTCCATACCTGACCAATTACAGCTTGCATGGTCCCTGTGTCCTGCTGAGCTGAAAGATCGCAATCCATCATATGTAGTCTTTGAAAAGGAGAATGGGGGTTTCTGGCATGCATCTGTCAATCAACTTCTGCACTCACAACCATCACCAAAAGCAAGGGAAAAAAGTCAAGCTGCTCCACCAAATAGGATGAAATAGTCATGTGACCTTCAGCACTCTCACACACATACATACTTCCATAGAACGTATGAATTTTCTGCAGATATGAAATGACATTGACAAATACCCAATACCAAGTAAATAAAGTGAGACAAACAGCTACTCACCAAAGAGAAAACACTTGCTGTAATCTTCAGCCTAAAGATTTAATATACCTAAAAGGTATTTTAAACTGAGTGTTTTCTTTAGAGCCTAAACTTTTCAGATAAGGTGATATGATTTTATATATGCAGACAGTGGTCAGAACTTTAACCCCTCGTGTCCTCTTGCAGTCTCTAATTTTGCTTCCCCCCTTTATACTTCTACTTTATGGCTTTTTGAGTTCTAGTTTTTGGTTTTGTTTTTTTCTTGAAGTTTCTTTTGTGTCAAAGTGAAGTGGCTTGTGTTGCTGTCTTTGGATTTTCAAAGATTATGAGAACTCAATAGAAAAAAATTTCTAACAGGAGAAAAAGAAGCAGGGGCTGAGAAACCTTTGTCTGTACTCACAAGTCAAAACATCTCACTGCTTTACTCCAGCAGAAGCCAAATGTTTTCTTTACTGGAAATATATATTTAAGTATTAGTTTATGTGAGCTGTGATGAGCACTCAAAATATTAAATATTCAGACTATGTAAATCCTACTTACAGAATCCTTTCCATTTTGAAGGTTAGCAGAATTTTGGTTCATTCACTGCTCCACTGAACTGACATAAAATGTTGTTACTTAGGAAGGGAAACATTACCATTTTTTTAGAATGGAAGCAGTTTGTTTCATGTATCTCCCTCGCTGAGTTAAGATTTGCAAGAATTTCCAAGACTGTTTTTTATTCTTGTCAAAATATATCAGCCACTTGTCTCCAAAAACTGAGTGTCCTGAACGACATGCTGCAGCATTGATTGCTGATACGTTATTGGCCAGTGATTGCTGAAGGGTGACATTAATGTAACCTCGTAGCACTTTAACCCTTTAAAGATCAATATAGTCCTCTGGCAATATAGTAGAATAACAGCCCATATACTTTTTGCTGTATTACAGCTTCATATAAATATTAGTGCATTTTCTGTCCTCCTTAAATTTCATTTCAGTTACTAGTGCAAACAACACAGTTTCCAAAAGATGTTAGAAGCAAAAATGCAGAAAAAAACCCAGTCTAGTCTCTATGCTTAACCTAACACACCCTTTTCATTTCAATAGTTTCCTGGCAATATTTTGACATTATTATTTCATTTTTAAAGGCATTGAAAATATTGATCTTAGCTTTTATGGTCAATGAAATGTGAGAATATCAACAATATTCTAATTGTAGGCACTTGCCAGTCTCCTACCACAGAATTTCAAGATTCAACATCCAGAAGTGTTTGGAATGTATGGAGCACATGTTTATGTGCATATGTATGTGTATGTGTGTATGTATGTGCATACGCATGGAAGTATAGAATAGATTAAATGTATGTTGAGGGAGTGAGATAGGCAGGGAATATCCAGCTTACTTTGCATTCTTTGAGTTTTTATAATACAATTATTTTTTAAATACTAAGAAAAAGATTAGGAAATTTTTATATATATTTTAAAAATTAGAAATAAGAACAATTCACATGTAGATAGATGCATGGGGATCCAGAAGTGTTTCTAGGACAACAAAATACTTTAGCATATAAAAAATTTTTCAAATCAAGCATTTTTAGAAAGATATACAATATTAAAAATAAAACATTGCCTCTGGGAGCAGGAGGAAGGAGTACTTGAAATGTTGTTTCCAACATCTGCCATGCATTTCATTTTTAAACATAAATAAAATGCACCATTTGAGCCAAAATCTTATCTGCTTCTTACTCATGAAAGAAAATACACTGAACTAATACCTTGGGCTGCCTTCTAGTCAGCTGAGAATTTGCTGCGGTCTCTTCCTCCATGACAATTCTATGGAAAAACCAGGCAGTATTGTGAAGGCCATAATCAACATCCATATCATCACAAGCAATTCAAAGTACAACTGGTAAGTGGGCGAGTGAGTAGAGGAGATTGCCTCTGCTGTCTCCAGGAAAACAGACACGCTAAAATCAAATACTGCACATGAATTTGAAAGGAAAGTTAAGGATGTCTGTTTTACAGTTTTTCTTCAGGAGAAGCCTTTCTGCAGTGGGTATGCGCAAAAACTTTTCAAATTCCTTTAACTCATTTAAGTAATGAAACCTGGCAATTAGCACTGAACCGGTTTTTATTAGCAGAGACATGGACATAGACATTTGTTGCAGAATGCTATTAAGCACAGTGTTGTATGCACACAAGTCTGCTGCACCCTTACACACCAATAAACCCACCAGTGGCTTGCACACAACACCGGCAGAGCTGCAAGAGCTTCCTCCTCCCAAATTGAGATATATGATACCTCTCTTTTTACCATCATTAACCTACACTTCCAGGAAATGCCAATCTACTATCTAAAATGTAAACCAACATCCCTACAGCTAACGCCTCTGCATAAATTACAGCACCATTATTAATCTGAACAGCTTCAAGAGCCTCTTCTGCTACTGCTGGAGCTGCCCTTACTTCTGAAGAGCTGGAAGCCTTTTCCCTCAGCCAAATCTACCTTATCATGTCTGTACGGGCTGCACAACTGGTTCCTGAGCACTATTTCATCTTTGCTTCTCGTCCTTCAGGCCTTCCATTGGCCATCTCATGAAAGATGTTGGTCCCATTTTGTATTTTTACTTACTCTGAGAAATTATCTCCCTCAAATGCCCCACTCCCCTAATTCACTCCCTCCCCTGAAAACACACACTTTCTTTGCTGCTGAAAAGGTGATTTAGCTCTCCTGTCAGCAGTCAAAAAGGTGAGGGAGAAAGATAGTGCCTAATCTGCCACAGGGAAGACTCAGATGGAGAGCAGGGTGCAAAGGGGAACTTGACTTGCCAGGTTTGCTCTAGCATGACCATCTTGAGGAAAATTATTGAAAGACAGAATTACAAACACTGCTTACCAACCAGCTGGGCTGTATCTCCAGCAGAGACCTCCTGGTCTCCTTTGAAACTTTTTATCCATGGCCCTCCTTCAGCATACCTGAGAGGAAAATAGTTATGGAGTCACAGCTATCTACGGCAGCTATGTCTTCCTACATGCATGCCCCTTCAGCACCTGTCACGAAGGTTTGCAGGTTTGCCAGGTTTGCATTGCTGCACCTAAAATCATTGAGAGAGTGCTTACACAGGGAGGAGGCTGATTTATCACTTAATCTTCGACAGTGCAAATTCAAAGTGGTAAAATGCCTGAGTTTGAGTTGCACGCTGGATTTCTGGCAGCCAGGGAAAGTATAACACTGAATACCTTTAACTGCAGTAGACTTTCCCTGTTTAATTGAAACAATAGCAAAAGTAAAAGGAGTTATGAATATAATAATGTGCTTGATTTTACCTCACAGATACACAGCTAAGAACTTCTGAAAACAGTATTACTGTATGAAATAATTTCTCTCCTGTCTACCAGGACAATATGTATTTCCTGGGCAGCAAAACCTAATATTTGGAATCATACAGCCATACAAAACCAAATTACTTCATAGCAAAAATATGTTAAAATACGTGGTCATTTTTAAATGCTCATTATTTATGATTGTCTATTGTTCTTTCCTTCATGAACTAGAAACCTTTGATCAGCAGAGCTCAGGGTTTACTAAAATACTTTTAGGCACTTAATTACATGCCATAGCAGAACTTGCAGCAGATTTAGTGAACTGAGCAAGACAGTACTGCTTACAACATCGGTACACTAGAGGGACTCTTTTTCCTCTTTTCGCGAGTGACAGATGCAGGGCACATTCAGAGCAAGCTGTTGTACCGCACACTACAGACCCTTTACTCACCGCTTAAACACACAAGACCCAGTCTTGCCCTCTTCAAAAATTAACAAAACTAATTCTAAACTGTTAATGACTCTTCCTTCCTCTTTCACTCTCTCTATCCATCTCTGCCAAACAGACACTATATGGCATTTTTCATCTTGATTTTCATGGATATGTGACTGAGGTTTCTGTATGAATAGGCCTCTGTTGTATTTTGCTAATTCCAAAATAATTGTTTTGTATTAAGAGACAGTAATGGATTACAGTTCCTGCTTCTACAAGCCCATTTTGGCCAATCACTTTTATATTTCAGAGGGAATTCTGTTATTTAGAAAACCTCTGACACTTCTAATTTCTTCTCCTCCAGATTAATTAATGTATAATTTCTAGGTTTCCTCCCACTGCCCCAGAGCTCCATTTTTCAAAAACCAAGCTACTGGCACATACTCATTCACTTCAAGAATGACACTTCTTTCTGTTCCTGTATCATGTAAAGGAAACTCAGGAAAAGATGTTTCTGTAACCTAAATTGCTAGAATAAGGCCTAATCTACATTATGCTCCTTTCTGTACAGCCAGTGGAACAGCTTTCCCTCAGTGCTTTTCCTTCACTCTCTAAAGAAAACACCTG